CTATACTTCTACTCCAGTGTATTTAGGGAAAGAAATGGATGGGAAGGGATGGCCCCCTTGCTCACTGTTTTTCCTAACCTCCATACTACCTCAGTCTGCCTGATGAATCTCTTTTCTCCCTTCTATGAAATTCCACTTCTACCCCCAGGTAACATGGCCTACTCTCTCCTCTATGTCCCCACTGTTTTGTGTACACACTCAAATTGTGGGATCTGTAAATCCTATTGCAGTTAGTCATAGTGATCTGCTTCCTGAGACTGTGAGTTCCTTGGGGCCAGGAACTACAGATAATTTATCTCTATATCCACGTGCCTGGCACCATGCTTGGATCCTCATAGGCATCTTGCTGCATGCAGAAAGTAGAGTCAATACATAAAGAAATGTGTGCTGAGATATACAGGGCAGGCAAGCAGTTGGAAGGTTTAACAAGGGAAGCAAACTTTGAGCTGTGCTTGAAAGTTGATTTGGTGTTAGCCAGGAAGCAAAGTGGGAAGAAAAATACTAGGAACAGCATGGGCAAAGGCGCAGAGATATGAAGCAGCACAGGCACTGGGAGGGCTCGGGTCAGTGTCTCCACAGCTGCTATGAACTGAGTGTGTCCTCCCCAGGTTCATATGTTGAAGTCCTAAACACCAACTGACAATATTTGGAGACGGGCTTTTGGAGGGTGATTAGGATTCGATTAGATCATGTAGATCATGCCCTCATGATGGAAGCAATGCATTTATAAATAGAGGAAGAGGCAGGGGAGTTCTATCTCTCCATGTACCTGTACCAGTGAGAAGCCATGTGAGGACACAGCCAGAAGACAGCTGACTGCAAGCTAGAAAGCTGGCTCTCACCAGGAACCAAGTCTACTGGCACCTTGATCTTGGCTTTTTCAGCCTCCAGAACTGTGAGATATAAGTGTCTGTTGTTTAAGCCACTGAGTCTATGGTATTTTATTATAACAGCTCAAGCCAGCTGAAATAATCACCTAGCAGAGTACTGGTGTGTGAAGGAATGAATGAATGAATGAATGAACACATGAATATGCCTTACTTCCTCACTGTCAGGGCATTTCTGTTTATGGAACCAAATCTATGTTTTATAGCCAAATTATATAACATATAACCAAATTTATAACATAACCAAATTATGTTTTAAAATATGGGTTTTATTATTATTCAGATATGGGGAAACTAACAGATTGGGAGATGATAGCCATTGAAATAACATAGCCATTGCTACACTTGTAGATCCCAAGAGGAGAGGATACATCACGCCATGGGGGAAGCATGCAGAGAAGCACTAGGGTCAGGCAGAAGAATCGAAGGGAAAATGTGGGCAATAAACTTTATAGTAGTTTCCACAGGAAGAATAGGCAAAGTAGTGTAAACAAGCTTAGGGTTGGCTAGTTGGATAATTTTTCAGGTTCTGGGGCTTGCAAAAAAAAAAAAAATAGATGCTATCCCTAGTGTCTGGCACCTGAGTCTTGGGTGATTAGGAGAATAACGGTCCAGTTATCGAAAGGAATGTGTGGATACAGCTGCTTGCTGCTCAAAAGCCAATAAACAGGCCAGGTGGAAAGGAAAGTTTGCTTTATTTCAGATGCCAACAACTGTGGGGGAGAGGGGGAGAAGGTGGCAGACACTTGTCCAAAAGCTAACTCCTCCCCACTGACAAACAGGGAGTGAGCGCTTTTATAGACAGTGTGTGTGCGGGGGTGGAGGGGAAGGGTTACATGCATAAACAACAGTCATCTTCAGATTGGTCATCAGTGGTCTGACCAGCTTCATCTTGGTTGTTTTAGGTACAGTTAATCTTCAGTTCTGGGGTCCATTTGTTTCCATTTCTTTGAGGCTAGTTCTCAGAATTGTGGCAACTCATGTCCTGGGTGCAGTCTGGTCATCATGTAGTTGACTTCTCCATCTGCTGTTTTAGTATCTATAAGACATCTCACAGGATAAGGCTCAGAATATCATCTGTAGCCCTTGAGAAAGAACTGAAAGTCCTCAGTTCAGTTCAGTGAAGTTGCTCAGTCGTGTCTGACTCTTTGCAACCCCATGAATTGCAGCACGCCATGCCTCCCTGTCCATCACCAACTCCCAGAGTTTACTCAAACTCATGTCCATCGAGTCGGTGATGCCATCTAGCCATCTCATCCTCTGTAGTCCCCTTCTCCTCCTGCCCCCAATCCCTCCCAGCATCAGGGTCTCTTCCAATGAGTCAACTCTTAGCAAGAGATGGCCAAAGTATTGGAGTTTCAGCTTCAGCACCAGTCCTTCCAATGAACATCCAGGACTGATCTCCTTTAGGATGGACTGGTTGGATCTCCTTGTAGTCCAAGGGATGCTCAAGAGTCTTCTCCAACACCACAGTTCAAAAGCACTGAAAGTCCTAGACTATGCTTAATGATTATTATTACTTGGGCTCCTTTGACAGTTTTCCTTCATTTTCACATGTTCTCATTTCTCTGATTAAACCTACTATTTGACTAAAGTTTTCCACAGACAAAAGGCAGGCAGAGGCATAGTCTGGGGGGTGGGTAGCCAGTAGAAGTAACAAATAGATTCAAGGATTAGCTCTGATAGACAGAGTGCCTGAAGAACTATGGACGGAGGTTTGTTACATTGTACAGGAGGCCATGATCAAGACCATCCCCAAGAAAAAGAAATGCAAAAAGGCAAAATGGTTGTCTGAGGA